TTTAGCTACTTACACAGTGGGGTTTGTATGTACAGACATGCTCCTTTATAGCTCAAACTTATTAGTTCCATCTTCTAGAGACCCAAACTCATTCATTAAAAATGTGCTTACATATACTTAGTTTTTCAATAATTAATTTATACATTGTTTGTTGATGAATTTACAATAATTAAATTTAATCAAGATTAAATCTCCGGATTAAATAGAGATAATCGCATGAGATTTAAATTTAATCATTCTTTTAAGAAGATTTACTTGACTCTAATCAATTAATTTATTAAATTTAAATTAAAAATTAAACAAAAAGAATATTTTCAGAAAGATACGAAGCTGAGAAAGAAATAATAATATAATATTCATTGACAAATCTTATGATGGGCTTGGGGACTACTCTCATAATTATTTCCAATACACATTAATCATCATCAAAGTCAATTATTAAAAAATATAAAAGAAATCTACACTTCACTAAACTATTTCACAAGTGACTCTGACTACTTAAGTCATCGATCAATATAATACATATACATATATATATATATATATATATATATATATAGAGAGAGAGAGAGAGAGAGAGCATACAAATATTGGCTGGTCCATTAGTCACTAGTAGTCATAATTGTTCATCTTGGTAGCTAACATGAATCGTTATTTTTACCCTCTTTTTTCTTTTTTAAATAAATTAACAAGAGAGTGGTCGATATATAGGTCAAGGAAAAATGATGATCATCAGCTATGTATAAAAATATATATAATACATATGCATTATATAATTAATATTATTACTGGGTTCTAATCAGGTAATGGTATTGTCAGCTCCAACATACTTTGAAGAAGTGATGGTTTGGTTCTCAAGATCTTCATCAGCTGAGTCACGAGTTGCGCAACTCGTACTGAGTGACAAAGATGGATTGTATGAATACCACGTTGACCAGAAAAGATAATTAAAAAAGTTGACCATGCTCAGCCCAGCTAACATCCAGTAGAAAAGATCAAGCCTGTCTTTGTTCAAATCATTGTCGCTCAGCCACCCTCCACCTCCCGATGAACTTGATGACGTGATCTTGTTCACCATTGATACCAGTATCGAGCTCAGGTAGAACCCAAAAGAGTACGAGCAGTAAGTCATGGCGGTCAGAAACGCCTGCATGCCTTCCACCGATTGTTTATAGAAAAACTCTATTAACCCCACCGCCGTGAACATCTCCGACACGCCGAATATGACAAACTGCGGCGCGATCCAGAAGATGGAGAGAGTCGAGTTTTCTTGCACAGCGGTTTTTCTTCTCTTCGCTTCCACCAGCGCGGCCGCAACCATGGAGAAGGTGGCGGTGAAGAGGCCGGCGCCGACTCGTTGGAGAGGGGAGATGCCGGAGTCCTTGCCTGTGATCCGGCGGGTGACGGGGACGAAGAGAGTTTCGTAGAGAGGGACGACGAAGATGAGAATGAGGTAAGGGATGGACTGGAGGGTTGCTGGAGGGATTTGGAAGGTGGAGGTGAGACGAGTGTTCATGGCGGTTCCTTGTTGGACGGAGAAGGTCTGGAGCTGAGCAAGAATTGTGTTGAAGATGATGGTGCAGGCGAATATGGGGATGACGGAGATGAGGATCTTCACTTGCTCCACTTGCGTTACAGTGCAGAGCCTCCATGGACTCTCCTCGACGACGTCGTTTCCTGATCCGTGATTTTGTGTTTTGATGCAGGCCTTGTCGAGGAATCTGCACCGTTGAATAATATTTAATTACATATTCCACATGTACAAATTAAAATAATTATGGACAAATATATATTTAGTTACAATTAGATTTTATCATATCAATTTTTTTTTTTTTATTTTTCTAAATTTATAAATAACTTGAATTCATATTAAATTAATTTTTGTCAAAAAAAATAAATTATATATAAAAATAATTATCCAGTAATTCATCGTACCTCAACTTTTCAGTGTGTAGGAGGTTGGTGACGGTAGATGACGTAGCATTTTGCGGATTACGATGGCTTCCATGAAGCATTTCTGTGTTGGAAGGGCAAACTTGCTTTCTCTTGGTTACGGCAGCAACAAAAACCTGACGATCACATGCCTGATTTAATTTTTCTAACATTTTTTTGAATAGTTAATTTTTCTTTAGATTAAAAACTAAATTATTCTGAGCTGATTTACCAAGAAATTAAATAAATAATTAAAAGTATAGAACAAAACAAATAGAAATTTAATAATATATATTTTTAGATATTGATAATATATCATAAAATAAATAGAATAATCTCTAATTGAAACAGTAACTTCAAGGATTAAAATGCATAATATTGATTTATCAAATTAGTTTTATTTAAGAAGTTTTTTTTTTTTTTGAAATATATATAATTTAATCAATTTAAAAAAGATGAGATGTTACATCAACGAAAAGAAATAAGGATTTATGGTAAGCCTTAAAGGAGGCAACATGAAAAGTTTTAATTTTTATGTGTCGGCCATTCTTTCTTACTTCTCCCTTTCCAAATTCTAAGAAAACACATACATATCTACTTACATAAAAGACAAACACACACACACACACACACAAACACAAATTTAAATCCAAGGACTGATAATTGATAGTTTAATTTTTCATTATAAGTATATAAATTTGAGTTTAATTGTGGATCTCGTATATTTTTAGTTTTAATATTATTGACTATACTAATATACCTGAGCAATCGGGGTGAAGATCGTGCCACGGGGAAGGTTATTCCGATAACGGCAGGAACCAGAAATGAAGATAACGAGAGCGGCAGCCATGGCAGCAGCGGAGACGCCAAAACCGACGTCCATGCCGTAATTGGTCTGAAGCCAGACGAGAAGCGTCAAGGCGACGAGCTGGCCGGTGCTGAAGGCAAAATACGCGGCGTTGAAATAGGTAGAAAGCTTCTTAGACTGGGCCCTGAACTGGTCCGCCCCAAGCGATATTATATTAGGTTTAAGACACCCACTCCCTAACGCCACCAAGTAAAGCGCCCCATAAAATATTAAAGCCTTGTACCCTTTCGCCTCCACGCACTCATCGCCCGGTTCACTGCAACTCGGCGGCCTGAGTTCTGCCACGTGTGCTTGGACCGCCAGGAGTATGAAACCCTACATTTACATTTATACGATGCCGTATTCTTTAATTAATTATTTTCTTTTAGGAAAGGAAAAGAAAATAAAGGAAAGTGCTTACAGAGAGTTCAACGAAGGCAAAGAGGAAGATGGTGGAAAAGCTGCCGAGATAAGAATCGGAGAGGAAGCCACCCAGGAGGGAGAGGAGAAAGACAGTTCCTATAAAGTTGGTGACTATGTTTGCTGATTTTGGTAGAGGAAAGTGCATCTCCTTCAACACGTACGTTATCAGATTGTTTCCAACTCCAGCTATTGCCATCATTTCAAATGCTTCCAGACCTTCATATATATATATATATATATATCCAAAACAAACATTTATAATTAATCAGACCAACCAAACATTTGAACCTAAATAATCTTTAAAAAGAGAAAGCAAAAGCAGTTTCTTTAATCATTGTCAACTGGATATATCCAACTGCATTGGAATTAAGGAAGATGAATAAGAAGGCCTTCTGCACATATATAATCACACATACATATATATATATATATAGTTCATGATGGAAATTATGCTAAAAGATGAGAGCGAGAGAGAGAGAGAGAGACCAAGGATAAAAATGGCAGCAGACATTCCACCATGTTTGTTAGGCTTGCAGGGTCTGCCTCTCCAATCAACGGAAATCTCCTCCTCAGCTCTAGCCATGGAATCTCTTCTGGAGTTCCCTTTTGTCTTCTCCATATACTCTACTCTAACTACTTGGGATCTCTGCTTTTTTCTTTCTCTATATATATCAGACCTATATATACATATGCATATATATGTGCGTGGTGTGTGTTGATTTGAGATTAAAATAGAGTAGTTGAGAAGAGAAGAATCGAAAAGATTAAGCTAGAATTATGTGGGTAGTGAATCAAACAAAAAGGCGCTCGTTGATTCTGAAATATATGTGTGTGTATATATAGGTATACATGATTAGTATTAGTTTGTGAGATTGATGAGGCAGCGAAGTGGGTGATGGTAGGCTCATATTTATAATAATGTTTTCCCCTCAATTTCCATAATTTCCTCCCACCGGATCTCCTCCCTACCTCCAGTTGACTCAACAGTACCCAGAAGGCCCACCTTCATCTCTCTCTTTATATACATTATCATATACATACACATTTACATACATATATAGTATATGCATAATTATATGTTGTCAAAAACATGAATATTGAATTTAGTTGGGTCAGTTTGCCACTAGAAAAGTATGAATATACATTTTTCAAATGGGTTTCTTTTTAAATCTCATATTGAGAAAGAGATTTATTTGTATTTTAGCAATTATTTTATTATTTCAATTGAAAATTTTAAAAATTAAGTTCTATCCTCATC